CTGGCCCGTGCCGGGGCCGACGGCGAGGAAGGGGCGCCCCGTCCGCCCCTGGAACTGCTCCCCGAGTCCCGCTTTCGAAGGGTGAGATCGTGCTGCCATACTCGCTCCTGCTTGGCACCTCGAAGGCGGAGACGTGTGCCGACACCCACCTCGGTAACGGTCAGGACTGCGAACGCCGGTACGCGGCGTCCGGACGCCCCGGTCCCTGGAGCAGCCGCGGCCCTTCTGAGGGCACACCCGCCTGGAGCCGTGGGTGAGGTGATCACTTGCCACCATTTCTGACCAAAGTTTTACACTTTAGGAAACACAACAGTGGACTTGCAGGGTGTGCTACACGAGCAGCAGCTCGCATACTGGAAGGGTAAAGTCTGAGACACTACTTTGCCAGGCCCTTCTTAAGCGTTCCCTTAACTTACGCAGTAGCATCCGTATTGTTACTGCATGTTGTTTACAGCTGTGGCTTGCTTTGAAAGGAAAAAACCAAACCACAACAAAAGAATGCGACATCCCTTGGTCCCTAGCATCCCCTTCCCCACCCTCTGTCCTCAGAATTATAAGCTATGTTTACTAACTGCTCTTTTATCTTACTTGTGGATTCCTGTAAAGAAGTTTGACTTCCACAAATCCATCCCGAGGGGAGCAGTGGGCACCTGTTCCCTGCTTGTTCTGGCTGCAGTTACTGCTGCGGCTGTTTGGGGGTTTTTCTACCACTCTTGAGCAAACTCAGTGATCACTGAAAAGGGGGGCAGACAGTGAAGATGTCACTCTAATACAGTGTGTTTTGTTGTATTTTTTTTTCCCTCTCCCGGACTACATTGATCATAATTGCCATTTAAAATGGAAATATATAGAAAGTTTAATAGGTGCTAATCATCCTTGTAAACTCCTCAGACTGAAACAGATGGAGTTGCTGGTGTGTACCCACAGCATTAAGAACTGGTACAGCTGATCTTTTTAATCCAACATGATAGTTCCTATCTCATTATGTGCTTGGCGGCTGCTACATTTTACAGTAATGCATGTCCCGGTCACAGTTGCCTGATAGAAATCACAATGGCTTTATCCTATTGCTTATCAGTTTTTGTCGCTGTTAGGTGAACCATAACCTCAAGACAAAGTAGAGGTCTAATATTAGCAAGACAGTTTTAACAGTGTAAGTTGACATGCGATGAGAAAGTTTCACCACTTAATAACATTCATGCCTTTACAAAGATGGAAATGACTCTGAAAGTGTTAGCATGTGTTCATAGCTTTGAAATTGTTAAAAGTAAGTAGCAGTGGCCACTTGCTTCTGATTTCTTTCTTATTCGAGGACCAATCTGAAAAAGAAAAATACTCTAAATATGCTTAAAATGCCTTATGGTTAACACTTTGTGCACATTTGGGAAAAAATGACTGCCACTAGTACAACTGAAAAGACACTGTATGTGCTTCATTTTGCTGGAGGCTGATCGCTCTACTCTTTTGTGTTTAGGAACTCAAAAGCCCCTACTTAAGAACCCTGTGCACTTCTTTGGATAATGAAAATCTATCAAATTTGGGTACACTTGTTATGTATTTGTTTTCTACAAGGTGTCTAATGCTCACTAGAAGCAAGGTTTTAAGTAATACGCTAAATCAGTACTGTAGCCAGTTGGATCACACACAGAAAAAGGAAGGCTTAGGCCAACAGGAGAATTCAGTGCAGAACAACTGCTAAGGAGCTTGTCTGCTGACTGACAGCCGAGAACAGTCTGTTGGTACAGAAAAGTTGCTCTTGCTACGGTTAAAAAGAAATTTCCTTTTGTTGTTGTGCCTTTAGGAACCTCCATTCATGTGGATCACTGGAGGAGGGGACTGAGCTGTTCCGTCTAATGATGGAATCATAGAATGTGTTTGGCTGGAAGGGACCTTTAAAGGTCATGTAGTCCAACCGCCCTGCAGTGAGCAGGGGCATCTTGAACTAGATGAGGTTGCTCAGAGCTTCATCAAGCCTGACCTTGAATGTCTCCAGGGATGGAGCCTCTACCACCTCTCTAGGCAACCTGTTCCAGTATTTCACCACCCTCATTGTAAACAACTTCTTCCTGATATCTAATCTAAATCTACCCTGCTCTAGTTTAAAACCACTGCCCCTTGTCCTCTTGCTACATACCCTCAGAATAGTCCAGGGCTGAGAGCAAATATGTTAGGGGGCTGCAGAAGGTCAGGTGGGAGCTTGGTGAAAGTTTGACTTAATCTTGATTTCTCTCAGATTACCCTAAGTGTAAACTCTTCCGTATTTGGCAAAATGATTTGCTGTCAAGCCTGGGAGCTTGGGTCGCAACTGACAGCTCAGAGTAAAAATACCGTGACTGCTTAAGTGTTAGTGAGCAACAGCAATCCCTGAATGTGGCACGTCACTGGTGCCTTACTGCAGTGGCCAGTGATAAGGGTGAAAGAATATGATTGTAGAATGGTATCTCGTGGGGGACTCTGAAATACCTAGGCACTTCCATAGGCAAAATTCTTCCTATAGCAATGTCTCTGGTTTTACTTTACACTTTTACACCACCTTCAGGGGATATATGGCGCTCTAGCTGTTGTGGTAGGCGAAGGCTCGGGCTCTGCACTGAGTCAGTCAGGGCACTGGTGCAACATAAAGCGAACTGGCCAGCTGCCTCTCAGAGGCTGGGCTATAGAGGCGATACAGCTCACTGCAGAGGGAGGTAACAACCTGTTGGAGGGGAGGGGAAGAGAGAGGCCATTTGGAGGAAGAGAAGCTGAGGAGGACATTGAACTGTAATTTATGAAGAACCTGCAAATACAGAATTCTCATCAGGAAAAGTCCAAATTTCCTCATATTTTTTCCTCTCAATATTTGGACAGAGATGTAAGAACGATGGGTTGTTCAACACACACAGGGCTTTCCTACATAACAGGTTGGTACTTATAATGTATATTACTTGAGGAGCTGTGGCCTATAGAATTGTGGCTGCACTAACCATTACTATGCAAAGTTATTACACCTTACCACAGTGGATTTTTAATCTATCTGCTAATGTAACTTTCCCTGTTAATTTAATATGCTCTGGGACAACCAGATGTTACTAACAGTATTTCTCTGAGACTTGGTTATATCAGAATTAAATCATACAAATAGGAAGTCATCAGCAAGGAGAAACACAAACTGCTTATTCAGAACTAGATTATTTCTTTTTGCTAGAGTTGCTGAATAGGCAGCAGTCTTTGACAATTAAGTGGCATTCAAATTCCCACTAAAGTTTCACAAATGTTCTACAAGAGAGTAGAATACAAGAGCTGAGTTAAAGTAGAAACTGTTCTGTTAATGAAAAACTTAAAATTTTGCAAGGCCTTTAACATTCTGGAGCACTAACATCCCATAAGTATTTGACAGAAGACTTCTGTCTTCATGATTTCCACAAATCAGAGGTTTTGTCTTCTGGATTTTTAGTCAAAATCTGGAGCAACTGGTTTCAGAGTCAAGAACTTGTTCTGCTTCCCGCAACTAAGCCTCTGATTTCTTGGCTTTGTCCTTCTGGTGATTGTTTTGATGCTTTTGACTCTTGGCTCTTGTTGTAACCTAGTTACAACAATAAGACCCACCCACGCCCAAATCTTGTAGGATTGTCATAGAAACATGTTCTGGAAGGCTGCAGCTCAGAAGTCCAAATGATGCCGAAATAATCTTTTGAGTGTCACGCTGCCAAGCCAAGAAGTACAAGTCTAGTATATCAGTTAGGAGTCAAAGCTGAAAGAAAAGGACTATTAGCCAGCGTTTCTGGACATGACAGTTTCCATAAAATACCACGTCTACTATTTATGGTCTGTAAACCTGAAGGAAAAGGCCTAGTTAACCTCTGCCAAGTTTCTAATATCCTTAAGTAGAAGGTACCATTTAAATTCAAGCTATTAAACTAGAACTGGTTAACCTTCATTCCTAAAGGCCTATGATGGAATATGTGTTTTGAAATCCTATGGGTGATGATACCTTTGAGTACAGCTCAATAACACCATCTGATCATCTATGTACACAATATAAGTTTATCAGTTATGAGCAGTTTGAGTATGCAAAGCTATTTATTTTTTCAGACTTAATGTAAAATCTTACCCGGCTGCTCCTTGGTCAGGTACTTTCAGGAAATCCAAGCTTTCTGGTTGCTGTGAAATCTTGCCTGATCCTCCTGACAGTTGCCGTGGTAAAGTTGGTCGTGTCGTATTTGTATACAGGTTTTTCTGATTGGCCCGTTGATTTCCTGGCACATGGGGAATTGGTACAAACTGGGGGGGATTTATTACTCCATTTTGCTGCTGACCTAGAAGAAAATAAAGTGTGAACACATCCAGTCCAAACTACAGCTCAGCAAAGGCAACTCTTTTGCTTGTGTTCGTGATACAGCTGTCAGCGAGACTCAGCTATCAAGGAATTTGAATACAAAATAATATTGAAATCATGAAGTTCGATGTATACTCAGTTTTGGGCCCACTAGCAATCTGGTTTGTGTTCACGTCTTTGTAGACTTGTGCTTTGAATGACGAGGATTAGCTTTTAGATTAATTCAACCTTATGAATGTTAGCTAATGGGTAACCACACCACCTCTACTTAAAATGCTGCATAAAATTTCATCCAGATAAAGGTTGATCAAAACAGTCTTTTCACAGTGGTGCCCAGTCATAGGACAAGGAATAATGGGTGTAAGCTAGAACATAGGAAGTTCTGACTCAACATGAGGAGAAACTTCTTTACTGTGAGGGTGACAGAGCCCTGGCACAGGCTGCCAGAGAGGCTGTGGAGTCTCTTTCTCTGGAGACAACACTGGTTTTTTAAGCTGTTATTAATTTTTTTTTTTTTTAAAAAAAAAGGGGGGGGGGGGTAGCTTTTTTTTTTCATTTTTTGGGGGTTTTGTGAGGTTTTTTAAGAAGCATTACTGCTACTTTGATAGCTCAAAAGGAGTTTGAATTTTCTAGGTGATGACAAGGGTAAATGCCTTTGGATAATTATGCCTCTAACTTGAATTTAAAACAAGCCCACCCATGTCTGAGCTACTTGTAGGATTAGGGCCTAAGGAGCTCAAATCTGCATGCTTTATATTCCTAAAACCCCCACTGAAAAAAAAAAGGGAGCTATGCTTTTATTAAAAATCAGATTGCTTAATGCTGTGGGTGATCCTCTCCTTTTTCCATTGTGATTATACTTGCTGAATATTAGCAGAACAAATAGCTGTGCAGAGAGGAGAATTCATAATCATGACACTTTTAAAAACCTTAACTGCATTCCACAGCTGGTCATTCCTTCTGATACTCTTTTGATACTGTGGCAGAGCTTAAGTAGTCATAAACTAACACAAAAACCTCACTTTGGGACCTGAGCTAGTATGGCACACACATTATGGATTATATAAATAAAGGTTTATTTTACTCTGAATATGTACGTAACAGTCTGTTATGGACCATTAATTTCAAAACATTTGTGAAAATAGCAGAACACATTTCAAACAATTGAGTATGATGACCTACAGCGTTACTTCCCCACATTGTGACAGCAGGTGGAGAGAATTGTTTGTGACTTTCAGGGAGGAATATGCCCAAATCATGCAATTGCCTTGGACTCCTTGAAAGTCTGGACAGTCTAATTGGAATTCTTTTGTAACACCAGTCTCAGTTTTATTTTTCCAGCTAGGATTCGTTACATTACAAAAGAGTTTGAATTAAAAAAAGCTAAGTGATGGTAATTGATTTGAGGTCTCTATGAAAGACTTTTACTCACTTTTTAAACATGATACCCTAATGCACAAGGATCAACACAACATTTACTTAACTTCAGTACTTAACGCTGATCCTGCCTTGACACTACAGTGTGGTTTCACTGTTTCATCAACATCTAGTTGAACTCCACAGCTGAACACTTGGGGAATGGTGGGTCAATAGAATATTGTTCTCTCCTCGGAGTTCACAGGCTAAATTAATTTTTTCTCTCTAAGGCAGAGGTGAAAGACCCTGATGACATCAACCCTATGCTGAAAGTTAGCCCAGTGTCTTGCTGCACACAGAGGCAGATTCTTCTAATTAGGACTCTCTGTTGACACGTCTGTTCAGGAGCTGTCAGAAGCACTGGGGAATATACGATTACAAAAGGCCGTACTGCCAGTATGGACATCCACTGGTTCCTTCAATTTGCATGCAAATCTATATCCAAACTATTTGACCTATAAGAGGAAAGTTTGGGCTTGGTCTGCAGGCACAAGGCTTCTTCAAGCAATATTTCTGTCTTTTCATGTAGCTATAAAACTGCTGAAATAGATTCTGCTTTAACTCATCCTGTATGAATATTTGCCCTCTGTGTTTGCAGACATGTTAACTCCTCTCACTACAGTAACTTCCCACTTTATTCCAAGCAGTTCTTGTAGATCATGCAGTGCCTAGTTTCACTCATACAGCTATGAGGACTGGGAATTGTCTACTTAATTTGGTGACCAAGACTGGTCACACCATTAGCCTTTTCTCAATAAACAGCAGCTGACTGAGAGAACTCTTTGTTTAAAAAAAGTACTCTGGGAGTCTAAGTTAAAAAAAACACTTGGGAAATGCTGGCTCAATGGAATATTGTTCTCCCCTCTGAGTTCACAGGCCAAATTAATTGTATCTCTTAAGGGCAGAAGTGCAACACCCTGCTGACATCAATGCCATGCAGAAAAAGCCATGCTGCTTTATTGGCACAGCTGATAGGGCTCAGCATACACAAAAGTTGTTACATAACAGGGTAGGACAATGAGACATAAATTGCATTCTATTGTTCACTGGCACTGAAAGCAGTTTCACTGCAAAGCATCGTCTGTGGCTTGATAAGCTTTCACCCTTGAAAGTAAAGTGCAGAAGGCTACAGGGTTAGTTTTAGGTTCAGTATCTTTAAGTGGCTGAACATGCCAGCGTCCATGACAACCAGGATCTCTTTGGTGGAATACCAGTTTGATTGTCTGCAGACTCCAACATTAAGCTTCATAACATGCCTACAATGTATGTTTTCCAGAAAGGATCTTTTAAAGAGGATTTCAAACCTTTACTATGATTTTTTTGAATGGGCAAAATTACCAGATGACAGGAGTAAAACAAAAGCTTGAATTTGGAATTTAGTTTTTGCCCGAGGCTAGGAGGACTTACCAGGAGGAGGTGGTGCAGCTCTCATAGGATAAGTCTGACTTTGAGACCTGTTGGAATACCCTCTGCTTTGGGTGAGGTTCCGTCTAGTAGGACCTAAGAGAAACCAGCAATGTTTTGTCACCCGTTCACAATTACATTAGTTAGGTATATCCTTCTGTCTGTCAGACCCTTACTCTGTGATCAGGGGCTGATGATCAGGAATGATGAATTTGATTCCTACAGTGTTGGCCAGCTTGTCCTAAAGCTGTAGGTGCAACAAGGTCGGCATATTCTCCCTTTTGTGATCCAGTTCAGTCACAGGATATAAAGCTGTCTCAAGACAACAGTAAATGAGGCCCAGAAGACCGTTAGCTTTATGAAATTGTTATAATACATGGATAGCTGGCACAACAGTACTTCTGATTGTACTGTTTCTGATCAGCAGTGGGTATGCAAAAAAAGTAGGACACGAAACTTGAGAGGCTGGTATATTTATCGCTCAATCTTTGGTGATGTACAGAACTTACCTCTCCTATTATCACAACCTGTCCTTTCTTTATCAGCAAGACTGTAGGAACTGCAGGAGCTCAGAGCAGAGTGAAAGACTCTTCCACAAAAAGCCTGGCTAATTGTGCTATTCGTACTATGTCACGTGATTAAATGCCCTCCTTTGCTCCAGGGCAGAGAATTTCAGACATTTCAGAAACAGTATATAGTGAAAGTAACAAAATTCTAGCACCACTGTAGAGTAGCAAGGAATTCTGCTGTATCATTCAGATCTATAACTAGATTCCTCTTTTTAGGGTTACGCAGAAATAATAAAGAGCATTCTAAGGCAAGAGACAGGCAAGGAGAGAAAGAGCCAACCCTTCTGTAAATTTCTAAACCAATCACTAATTTCTAAAGGAAATTCATACTTACGGGAATTCTTTGGTAGCCCTGGTCCAATGCTGATTTGCAGCACTTTATTACTTGGCTTGAGAAGGGCTATATCTCCTTGGCCTTGCATAAACTGCACTTGTCGAGATCCACCACTGCTCCAGGGCCCCCAACTCTCCTTTTTCAGCTTCACCTCAAGTCTAATATAAACACATGAACAAGAAAACAGAGGCATTTCTATGTCAAGTAAGGACAATATCACCTGGCAGCAGATAACTTAGAAATACAAAAATAAAAAGCTTAAGAGTGAGAATTTGTATTCCCTGAGTGACTTAGCTGACATAAACCACCTAATTAAGTCTTTTTTTCATGTTTTTTCAAAAAGTTGTTCTTAAATGATGTTTTAACTTTTGTGGTAGAGCTACTCACAGGAAGTTTAAGGCAGAAGAGGACAGAGAGTACAATGAGCTTTGAATTAAAATGTACAAAGGTCTGAGTAAGAGATGTGTCTGCCATCAAACATCACTCCTCTGGAGCAGACTCTACTGGAGCAAGCTGGAGTGCTCTATTCCTAAACATTCTTCTGTGTATAGAATTAGATGTCTATATATGTGTGTGTATATATACATTGGCATGTATATGACAATATATGCTTTAGGGGTGGGCCTGGCACATGTCCTGGGAGACATTTCTGCATACATATACATCAATCTTTTAAATTCAGGGTGGTTTTTTGCATGTGCACACATGAACATACAGATACTTTTTCCTAGCATTTCCACACTATCCATCCACTCCAAAGTGTACTCAGATATGAGCTAAGGAAATTATATTTGGCTTTGGACAAGACCCCAGAAGTATAATACATTACATCTTACATGAACAAAAAATTCACGCCTGGTACTGGCTTTGGATTCCCAGTGTATAGGAGCGTACACTACAGGAATATTCCACACTCCAGTTGTCCTCCTACACTGTTTTCAAACTAAGATAATAAACTTCTGTTAACTTCTATAATTCAAAGGAAATAAAATAAACATATGAAGCCAAGGCCTGCTGTTCCCAATGCGCTTAATGGGTAGGAGTATTAACAAAAGCACGTTTGTTGGGCTAGTTTCCAGCATGTCCCTACAGCTAAAAAGCACATCAAACATCCTGTAGCTTTTCAGGTTTGATTCTAAGAAACATTCCCAATATCATTTACCTAATGAAGCTCCTTTAGAATTATCCTTTCACCCTGCATTTGTCTATCCCCACAACAAACTTCAGAATTTCAGATTGTTACATTACGTCTCCAGAACTGTCTTTCAATCGCTTCATCATGTTTCCACTTCTAGGTCAAGGTTAAGGACTTGGCAGAGGATGCTCCCTTCTCGTGGCAGGAAACAGGAGCCAGCACGGAGATGGAAAGCTTGCACGACGGTCGCACATTCATTGTGCAGTGACTGGCTTGGCCCTTGCTGCGGGGCTGCAGCTCTGCGGCACAAACCTACAGCCCGAAGCTGCAGCCCCTTGAGCCTGATGCCATCCATGGTCAGCAAAAGGAAGGCAACTGCTACACACCCAGACAGTGGAAAGTGGCAGATGACCCAGGTACAATTCTAACACATTACTCTGACAAGTTGATCAGAAAGTCTGGTTTCCTTGCACATATACATTTTTATACAGCGCTGGCTCTTATTATTTCAAAACAGGCATAATCTCAAGAGCTGAACAACTGCCACTCACTCATTTGCCTTGGCAGGAAAACCAAATATTATTTATTCTTAAAAGTCCATTAAAAAACCATAACTCACGTATTGCTAAATTTCAGAGGTAGTTTTCTTTGTGTTTTCTCTTCATATCTTTTTGATAAGAGGCTTAAAAACTCAGTTTTGAAGACCGATTCAAGCAAACTATCATATTCCTGTTCATGTAGAATGAAAATGTCATCCTGCATTGTGCTGAAAAGAAATCAGAGCATATGCCATTCAGATTAAAATTTCATCAGCAAATACAGTCACTGTTCTAATGACATTTGTAGAATACTTAAGGTTAATTTTAAAAAACATAAGAAAGTCCAAGCAGGATTAATTATACAGTCTTGCTTTCTGAGAACCAGTGGTATTCCACAAAATGGAGAAGAAAGGAGCTCTAGCCAGATATTGTTAAGTATTCCTAGCAGAAAATGTGTGACTTCTTTTCATGGTTGTTTAGTCCACAGCAGGGAGTCTGAAGCCAAAGCTTCTCTACTCTTTTGTCAGTGTAGTTTGGTCCATTTTCCGCTGCTATTACTAATATCAGAAAATACTATTTTATAATAGCAATTTATTTCAACACATTAGATATCTACTAAGTGAAAAAGGCACTCTCAGTTTGTGTTTCTCTCTGGAGAGATGGTGATTTAGAATTAACATCATTATGAGTTTTCGTTTTTTCCTTCTAAAGAACAGAAACTCAGAAGTGTGAATGTCTGCATTGTGGAAAACGAAGCAGGTGGCTTTGGCAGCCAGGTGATGGCAAGCCAAAGCTACGCACACATCACTAAGAAACAGCTTCTTTCAATGGTTTGCAGAGCAATACATCAGACAGAAGGTACTGATATCTCCCCTAAATCTGTATATGTATTGCTTCACCACATCAGAGTAACTCCAAAAGTAAATTAATTATAGCACATAAAGAACTCAAAGAACATTCAGCTCAGGGAAAAAAAAAAGCCTTCACTTTGCATCAGAAAATTAGTGTTATTTGCCCTCATTACTGTTTTCTGATCCTAATTACCTAGCCTTCCACTTTGAGTACCTTTCTCCCTTTTTCTCTCCCAGCTGGTCTGCATGATTGCTGGCTCTATAAATCTGCAAGGGGAGAAACAGGTGTAGTTTCTGGCTACCACTTTCAATCTGGCTGCTGAAGACGAGGACTTTCTCCACAGACTGTGAGTACCTTTTTATATAGAATTAAAAATGGCTTCACTGTGCTGCTGGAGGTGCTCCTGACTGTCATATATGAAAATATGGTTCTAAGCCACTTGAGGCATTAAGTAAAGTATGAGTTGTATTGCTACCTGTTTTTCTAAAAGTCTACTTATCACCTGTGCACTCTGTAATCCGCTTTGAAATTCTGAAACCTTTCCCATAGTTTGAAAAAGGGTATAGACTTACCTAACCAGTAATAAAAATAGCAATGAGACATTTATAAAAATAGAGTATGACCTCTTGTCCTATCATCAAGCAGATCTAGAGCCTTAGTAAGGTTCTGAATGAAACATATAAGAAAACTCAAGACCAACACTAATTATTACCTAGGCCATGGTGTTATTTTTGCTTATTTGGCAAAGAGTCTGACTTCACAATACTGTCAGGGTGTCCTGTGTCACTCTTTATCAGATGAATTATAAAGTTCAGTTATTTATTTATTGTTATTAAAAACACAAGAATGTTTCCAGGAGAGTATAGGTTGTTGTTCTCAGTACCCTAAGCAAATTCTGAGTTGAATATTTGTGCTTTAAACTGTGACTTCTTTAGTACTTTAAATTGTTATGTACTGCCAATTGCTGTTGTTCCATGTCAATAGTGCTATTATACTGCCTGTATTGTGTCTAAGCGTATTGATGCAAGCTTTACAGTATATTGATATATGATGCAATATGTTGTGCCTGGGTTTTTTGAGAGATATTTAAATAGCAACACACAAATCTAGTTATCCTCTCTCCTTCTTTCATTTAAAATATATTTCATTTTTTATTGATTTAGCTAAAATTTAATATTGCATGAAAAATAGTACAAATAACAATTGAAAGTTATAAAACTTAAAGGTTGCAATACAGAATAGAGCTAAACCTATTCCACATAACAGCAATAACATTCTTCATGGGTTTATTTTTTCCAGCACAAAAGTTTGAGATTCACTTCAAAACCAGCCAGAGATCAGTTATATTCGAGCTACAGGAAATTTAAACTATAGGGACAATAAACTGGAGTTTTGAAAACACATGAGAGAATGCGAGTTAGAGCTAATATGATTTTTGCTTTGAGTCTGTCATCTGAAAAATTGTTTGGGGGTTTTGGAGGGTTTTCCCTCAAAAATACAGAGTAAGTAATATATGTACTAAATAAGTTTTCCTCTAGTTTTATCAATTGAAGACTGTTAAATATTGTAAGTGCTAATTCTTATCACTGAGACAAGATTATCTCGGATTTGGGAGAAGCAGTAACTTTCCCAGCCTCTGCAGCCAGAGCATTGTGTTACTACTAAGCCACTTCAGTACAGAGTTAAGAGATCCCTTGGTTAAAAGCCATTGTGAACTTGGACCATGGTAACGGCGAAAAGCCCTCTTGCTTCCATAGGTTTTTTTACAGTTTGGTTTTGGAGGAATACCTGGACAGTTGGATACCTTGCAGCAAGTCTACTTATAGCATAAGAAAACCCTCATGTTTTTTACAACAAAATAAAATCAATAACCGAAATTCAAAACATTGTTAGACATAATGTAATATACACATATCTTCTGAACTAAGCATATTTGGTTTTGTTTCAGAAGGTTCTGTGGAACTGCTATTTACATGTGAGAGGAGTGTAACAGCTTTCACTAACTTGGCAGGCAGCTGTTCTTTTAGCTGACTCAATTCTGACTATGCCTGTGGAATGCTACAGGCCCAATTCACGCGCCTGGCTGCAATCTGTTCAAGGTTTGCACAGCACACAGTCCAAACTAGGAGTGCTAAAATGTCAGGTTCCGCTCTCATCTTTATGATAGATAACCCACAGGTTTTGAAAATAGTATTGTGAGCAGACATATCTTGCAGAGCTTTCCCAAGTCTTGAAATGGCTGTGATGAATTCTGCAAAAATGTGAAATAATGTCTGTGAAAAGATCTCTGGCTATGCTAATAGAATGTTTTATAAGCATATACAAAAAACCTGTTGAAGTAGCTATCAATACACAGTACTCAAGTGTAGATTTGTATTCCTTAAAATGGTAATTTATCTCAATATTTAAAGTATGCTTGTTGCCCTGTATTCATATTCTTTTTGTATTAAATTACACTCAGCTACCAGCTCTGATAAACTGCAGTAAAAAAAATTCTGAAGTTATTCAGGGACTTTGTTCACTCATCTTCAAAGGGGTGAAATGATACAGGCAAGAATCCATAGATCTCCTGGGCAGTTCCTTCTGGTTTTTGCTCACCTAACTGGGTTTTTCAGCTCTTTCTGGACACCTCAGATATTACCTGCAATCTGTGAATGACTTGACTTTCAGCCTTTGAGTGATGTGAAATCCAACTAGAAATAAAGGTTTTAGTAGCTCATTGGGAAGGGAACATCCCTTTAGGAAGCAGTGGACATGTACCAGATGTACTTCTGTAAGTAAGAATTATTTCTGAGATACAAGCTTGAGCCCAGACTTGCTACTTGTGCACTGCTTGTACACGGTGAATGTACACTTTGCGAAGATACATTTTGGAGGACTTGCCAGACAGGTGAGACCCAATGTAAGTAAAACACTTTAATAACCAGTCAGAAAATGTTTGTGCTGGCTATTAACATCTATTGCTATAACATACTTACTAGGGCTGGGAGCAAAAATAAGGTTTCTTTTCTTGCAAGATTCAATTGATACAGCTTAAGAAGTTCACCCTTTATCACTGAACTTATTTTCCCCAATGCAAATTTCCCTGTCAATGGAAAGATGTTTACAGGTACTGACCTTAGAGAAACAGAAAGAATTCTCTCCACTTCCATCCTTCGCTTTAAGACTTCCTTCACTTGGCCTTTCTCTGGACCCTGTTTGATCTTTTCACGCCCAATCAGGTATATGCACTTCGGAGTGAGGACAAGATCTCGTTTCACACTCTGAAACACAAAATTGTTTGTAAATAAATAGCTAGGTAGAGATCACACAGAATCACAGAATGTCAGGGGTTGGAGGGGACCTCGAAAGATCATCTAGTCCAACTCCCCTGCCAGAGCAGGATCACCTACAGTAGGTCACACAGGAATGTGTCCAGGTTTTGAATGTCTCCAGAGAAGGAGACTCCACAGCCTCCCTGGGCAGCCTGTGCCAGTGCTCTGTCACCTTCACAGTGAAAAAGTTTTTCTTAATGTTTTTCTGGAACCTCCTGTGTTTCAGCTTGTATCTGCTACCCCTTGTCATATCATTGGACATCACTGAGAAGAGCCTGGCTCTGTTGTCCTGACACTCACCCTTTACATATTTACTAACATTAGTGAGGTCACCCCTCAGTCTCCTCT